ACTGATTTTCCATAAAAGTTATACGTTATAAAACTTAATATTTTTATGGAATTTTTATATCAAATTTTTTATTGGGAGTTAATACTTATTGATTCAACTCATAAAACAAATAGTTATGATTAACATCTATTTACTTTATATATTTGCAATACATTTGAATGTTAGAATGTAGATGCTTATTTTCTTGTAAGCAATGAAGATTATGATACTATTTTAAAAGTATTAAAAATAATTCATGATAGCTACTGTCACTAGATCTCTCACTATATTCTTTCTGATCAAAGTAGTATTGAAGCTAAAGGCAGTGATGTCCATTTTTGATATCTCAAAGATTTGTTATCTCAGTTCCTATTCTACACTATGTCCCAAATTTTCTATCTATCCTATCTATGTCTTATCAGTATCTTATTTTCTTTCTCTTTATTTAAAATTTTACTTATACCTTTCTTCTGTTCATTTTTTTATTCACCTACTCACTTGTTCATTCACTTATTAGATACTATTCATAAGATTGTTGATATTGACTGTAAAAAATAATCTGAATCTAAAAGTGTCACCTTTAAATATAATATTAAGAAAATATTCGCTTACGGTGTAGAAGACGATATTATCAATGAAATTCACAAATTTTCACTCTCATTTCAACTTCTAATCATTAAAGAGGTTTGCGCTGTTCATAATAGACTTGAGAAAGGTAAAGGCATACTGAGTTTGACTTTATTTAATTGCTACTGTTTGTTCTGCAAATAAATACCTGTTATCATATAGACATATTTTTTATGAATACATGTATAAAAACGTAAAATTATTGACTATTAATATATGGAAAATATTTTAGAAAATATTTAAAGAGAGTGGTTTTGAGATATATGAAAGTTACGAAATAGTAATAGAATTTATGCTGACAGTAAAATAAAAAGAAGCCAAAAATCAAAGGCTTACTGTTGCAAAATTAACTGAAAGAGTCCATGATAGATATTAGAAGGTTGAAGAAATAGGCAATATTATGAAAATTAAGTCATTTATCTCTATATTAAAATTCTCTTTAAATTCAATTATTTCACAATTTGATGCTTAAAAGATTTTGAAATTGAGTTAAAAGCAAGTAAATAAAAAAATAATTCAAAAAATTTTTATTAATATATATTTCACAAAATTTATTTATAAGATAAATAGATTACGTAAAAACAATTCACAAGTTTACTATTCTTTTTACAATAATAAAGTATTATTATGTAATATATACACCTTAAATTTATCACTATAGATTATGTATGCTTAAATCTATTGCTTAATTAAAAATAAATACTCATTAACAAATCGATTACAGACCAATTATAATTATTATCTCAATTATGTGATTTCTGCTTCGCTTTAAATGACTCCCATGTTAGGAGGTTTGTAATATTTTAGTGCAACACTCATATGGATTTTCATAAGGACAAAAATTTCCTTTTTGGATTTGCATAACGTCACGTGATTGTAATTCTGGCTGGCTTTATGTATTTCGACTCTCAGAATTAATTTCGACCCTCGTAATGTGTAATTGATTTCGACCCTCGTAATCAATTTAACTTTACGTAGAATTCCTCACAGGATCTGACCTGCATTAAGACAATAAATAATTTGGCGTAACCGGATTTTAGCAGAATTCGGAATAGAATCAAAAAAAAAAAATAAGTTTTAAATGAAATCAGATTTCCTTCCCTTTATCCTTTTTTTATTTATAAATTAATAATTTATAAAAAAAAAAAAAAATTTTTTATTCCATCTAATTTTTTAAAATTGTAGTATTATTATTCATCATGAGCGCAAATGAACTTCAAGAAGATTATAGTTCGGATTCATCAAACGATCCTGATTATGTTCTAAATGGTAATTTTTTAAAAAAAATTTTCTGCTTTCTTGTACCTAATCATTTTTAACTTTTCAAAAAAAAAAAAAAATAAAATAAAAAAAAAGCTTATGAAATAGATAGCGAGGATGAAACCGAACTGGTAAATGTAGCAGCACAAGGCAAAAAGGACCTTGATGATGAAACAAATTTGATGACTCGTAGTAAACGCAAAAAAATAGAAGCGGAAACCGAAACATATAATAATATTAAGAAACAAAAGTGAGCAAAAAAAAAAAAAAAAAAAAAATTTTTAACATATTGAAGTTAATAAAACTTAATTTAGGTTTGAAGAAAAAATCGCAAAAGAATCAAATACAATTGATGAAGAACGTAAAAGTAAGATCGATGCTTTATGGGCTGAATTGAACGCAGATGATGAAGACTATCTTCCTATACCAGCAAAGCCCTATAATAATTTGGTAGATAATAAAGCTCTTTTAAATGACAACCCTGTGGAAAACAAGAAATCAAAGGTCTCATTTTCATTTTCATTATTTAATTATTATTAGAATTATTCATTAATATATATTCATGTATTCTCACTAGTTTCCTTTAACCAATTTAACTAAAGTTCCGAAATCAACAAAGATGATTACCATAACAAAAACTTATAAATTTGCTGGTGATATTATAACGTAAGTTTACACATAAAAAAGAAAAAATTTTTTTTTCGTGACATTTATAATTTTTTTTATCTTATAACAGAGAACATAAACAAGTTCCCGAAGATTCAGAAGAGGGACAAGCTTTTCTAGAAGAACAAGAGACATCAGAAACCAGCAACGAATCAAGTTCTATTTTCTCAACGTCACGAACATCTGTCAAATCACCATCAACTATTCCGAAGAGCGGTAGTGGTGGTGGTAACGTTGATAAATTTATCAAATCTAAAATAAGTATTGAACAACTCGCTTCACTTAAAAAGAAACCTACAAAATTAAATACTTTGGAGAAATCAAAAATGGATTGGAAAAAATACGTTGAACAAGAACAAATTGTTGATGAATTAAAATATCATAATAAGAACGGGTAAGTGATTAATTCCAAGAACCAATGTAAAGCGATCATATGATTATTAATTTCTTTTTTCCTATAGGTATATAGAAAAACAGGAATTCTTGCATCGTGCATACGAAAGGCAGGAATCTGAAATTAGATCATTTAGAAAAGATACAATGAAATAAATAAAATAATAAAAAAAAAGCTATGCTTATTTTATTCGATTACCTTTTTACGCCCTTTAATAAAATTTTGAACTAATGCATTTTTATTATAAAAAAAAGAAAAAAATGAAGGATCTGCGTCACTCAATGTAACTAAATCTAAATAGTCAAATGAATTGGCAAAACTAATATATAGAAGGATCAGTTCGCAATGATCTTAATTTATTTGGACAAAAAAAAAAAATTTTATTCTATGATCATGATAAACCACCTGTATTTACAGATTTCCTCTATATTCAGATCCATAGAACATTTATGTGATGGAATTTCTTACTATTTAAGGGATCTAAATTATTAAAAGGTAAAATTATAATTCTTAGATTAACTAGTGGTTCAACTAAATCGCAGGACGACAAATTCTTCTTTTTACTATATCCAAGAAACAAGTTCCTATTTTGCATTTATACCTGATTGAAAAGAAGGTTTTGTACTTATTTATGTTTTCCGGGATATCGTCATCTCTAATTCATACCCAACAATATTGATTACCAGGAACAACGATTACTATAATTAAATATCGTTAATATTGTATGTACATATTATTTATATTTATAAATCATCGTAATCTATAATTACCTTTATACACGACACAAACAAAAAAATGTTGCCAAAGATAGATCTTTATTATATATGATATATTCTAATGATTTCGTCATGATGAATAATTCTTTTATCGAATCAATTATAATTAAATCGCGAACTCTACATTGATCCTTTTTTATTATATGGGAGGGTTGTTAGTAAAATCACATTACGGATCGTATGATTACTATGTGAGTGTTGGGAAAAAGGCTTTTTTTTTTTTTAGTAAAACTCAAAAATGGATTATCAATTATCGTTATCAGACATTTTTCCAGGGAAGACCTAGCGTTCCCCCAAAAAAAAGCACTGGTCGGCCGGCATTATGCAGTAACACGTGAATGTGTGTGACAGATAATGTGTGACAAATAGGTTTGCGTCTAGTGAAAAAAAACTAAGTCCCCGAAACACTTATAAAAAAATGAAAATACGCCAGGGTGTGATACCGGTGACAACAAAAACATCATCACGTGACCAGTGCTTTTTGGGGGAACGCTAGGGTAATATTCAAAATTGATTGATGCAAAATTTTGATGCATTTTGTGATTACCAATCAATTACTATAAAATTTCGTTTTAGAAAAATAAGTTATTTCTTTTTTTACAGTTTATTTTATTTTATTTATTTTTATCATTATTCTGTAGTTAAACCAATTTTTTAAATATAAAATATGCTAAATATTTTTTATTAAAAATTTATAATAAAAATGTAATAAAGAATAAATATTAATATACTGTATTGTTAAGATAATCTATTGCCATAGCAATTGCTTTATTGTTATAAAAACATATATAGCTGATTAATAAAAAGATATAGTAAAATGTAAATTATATATATTTTTTGTTTAATAAATAATTATTTTTAATAAAAATAATAAATCATATGTTTTATTTAATAATAAATCTTTTAAAATGAAAAAAAAGGTTAAGAAATATTTTTTTTATACTTTTTCTTTAAAATATTGCATTAAATATTATATTAAATACTGCAACAATTTTATAATATATGTAATACAAACAAATTAGATCAATAAAACTCATCAAATCTTATAGTAAATCACAGTTTAGGATAAAGGTTTATACTTTTATCCTAGATTAAAGATGCCTACTATTTTGCTAATGCATTTGATACAAAATTTAATATAAATTTTAGCCAATCATATTTTTTAAATTTGCATTAAAATCTGTATCAATCAATTTTGAATACTTTTAGTATTACTACTAAGTTTTTACTCTCATATGATCATAGAAATATTTATTATCTTATATTATACCCTTTATGTTTTTTATTTTCATAAATATTTTGAGAATTTAGAATTTTTTTGAGAAACAAAATCATATTTATTATTTTTTAATATTATAATACTACTAAAAGTCAAATAAGTATAAAAAATTTAATGATAAAACTGAAGTAATTTGATAACTATCATCACGTTATGTAATATTATATAGCAATATGATCAATATATAATTATTATATATTATTATTTTTGATGCTTACATTTTAACTTATTATATGCATTATATCCTATTTTACTATATACTTATATATTGTAAAATCTTAAATTTAAACATTTTTTTTTACAGTTATGTGATAGATAAAATTAATAAAGGTACTTAATTTTGATTTTATTATAAAATTTGATACCTTTTAATTTTTAATTGTTACAAATTTTAATCCTATTTTTTTAAAATATTTAGTAAAAATAAATATAAAAATAGATATAAGATAGCGTACATTATATATATTTAAAGAAAAATTAATAGTGATTAAGTATACTCAAGAATATAAAAGAAATACTTTTACGCCAATTCTTTTAGATCGCAGGTAAATCACCTGCAATATCACAGTTTAGTAAAAGGTTTCCTTTACATGGAAGAGTAAAAATATAAATACAAAATAAGAGAAATAGAAATAAATGAGACAAGTGAGATATAATATGTATAATTAATTATTTAAATAAAAGACTAGTATTATCTCTGTCAAGCGCATATGTACTAAACAATTTATTTATCAAAAAAATTATTACAAGACAAGATTTTCTCTGTCACTTTTACATTAACAAATTACTTCTATTTATATAAAAATACTTATTAGTAATGATAAAATAAAGAAAATCGATAAAATGAATAAAATAAATATAATAAATAAATAACATAAATGAATAAAATAAATGAAAAAAATGAAATAAATGAAATAAATGTCATTAATGATGAATGATGTAATAAGGTCTATTTATATAATAAAAATTTAGAAAATAAAACATGTAGATCATTTAATTATTTAATTTGGTTACAGCATTGCAAATCATTTTGATATAATATGAAATTAATCATCCTTTTTCATGTTTGTAGATCATTTTTGCATATCATTTTTAGATGTAATGATACTATAGCAAAACATTTTAATTTAGATATTTTAATAGTAAGAAGATAGTTAAAGTAAAGTAATAAATAGAAAAATAAAAACAAAAAAAAATATTAAAGCTTTAAAAAAAAACCTTTTATCCTGAAACAGAAATTTTATATAATTGGATAATTAAATAAAGAAAAAAGGGTTTACTGTTAATTATATTTTAATAAGATATAAATATTTAAAATATTCAAAATCTGTAATTCAAACTTTATATCTAATAGAAGAATATAAGTTTAAAGAAATCTTTCTTGAATCAATTCTTTTATAAAAAGATATAATTTATCATTAAGAAAAAGGATCAAAATTTCATAAAAATTACCTAAAATCAGAATAAAAATTATATTCAATTGTAGATAAACTATCATTTTAAGAATAAAATATGATTAAATTATAATAAAATACTCTTCAACCTTAATAGCAATAATAAAATATTCTTGCTAAACTTTTTTATCTTCAATAGTAGTAGCAACAGTAATAAAGTTTTCTTCTTCAACTTCAACAAGAACAGCAACAGGTCTTTTTACCTTAATATATTTCTCAGAAGTATTATATTCTTTCTCAACAATATGATCTTAAATTATATGATTTACCTTTTACTTTAATTAAACTTAATGAAAATTATGCAGAAACTAATAAGTTGATAAGTTTATAATATATATTTTTAATTTAAATAATTAAATATAAAATATTTGTTAAATTTTATTTTAGTTTAGAGATAGACTTTTATATAAAAAAATTTTCAATTTAAGAAAATAAAATTTTCTAAAATTCTTATTCTAAGAAAAAAGATGATGATAATCAAGATCAAGATCTTGATAAAAAGTCTGATAATTAAAAAAAAATGAAATTAAAATTTTACTTAATTATTTTTAAGAAAATTTCTTTTCTTGATCTAAAGAAAACAAAACTAAATTTTATAATAATATAATAAAGAATGTTTTATTAAATAAGAAAACAATTATAATAAAAAGTAAAATTTTCCTTTACTTTTTATAAATAAATGTTTTAATTATTTAATTATTATCTTTTAATTATTATAGTTATTTATTTTAAGATAAACTTATATGATTAATAAAAAAAAAATGAAAGTATTAAGAAGAATAATAATCAGTCAAGAATAGAATGAAAAATTAGGATTGGTATGATAAACTAGATGTAATTTTTAGAATACATAAAATATCTTACTTTATTTTTAGCTAATAAATTTAATAGATATGATTAATGAGAAAATTGAGATTAAAATGGTAAATAATAAAAATAAAAATAAAAATAAAAATATTATTGAAGTTATGATTATATCAATAGCTAAAATAAACCAAATGCATAAAAGAATTTAAGAACAAAAAAGGTTATTAAAAAAGAAAAATTGGATAAAATTATGAGTTAGAAAAAAAATGATTAAAAGTTAAACAAGAAAGATAAGAATATGAAAAAAAGTATAAAAAAGAAAAAATAAAAATGAAATTTATTAAAGATAAAGGAATTAAAATTAAAATATTAAAAAAATAATTAATGTAATATTTTAAGTTTTAGTTTTATATCATATAATAATAATAATAATAATAATAATAATAAATCTTTTTTGATTAAAGTAGAAATTTTATTAACTTTATTAAATAAATAACTAATTTATTATTTAATCTTTTTTTTATTTTATCTGCTTTTTTTAAAGAATTTTTATCTAAATTACTTATATTATTTTATTATCATTATTATCATTATTATTATTATTATACTATTATTATTATCTAATTTCTAATTATTATTATTTATTTTCAAAAAATTATGCAAAATTACATAACATTCAATTTCTTAACATTTAATTCTTTTAATTTAAAAAATCTATTTTAGTATACTAAAAGCATTTTTTACTATTACACAATATAAAGAATAAGTAATATTAAATATATTTATAAATCATTAGATATAGATAGAGTTTTGGATGAGTTGAATTAACTCATAAATCAGAAAAGCTGAGTTAAATATAAATCAAGTCAAGTTTATATTTTTTTGACTCAATAATTTGCGAATTATATTAATTTTAAGTCAAGTTAAATATTTAACTTGATTTAATTTAAATTCAAGTTATCTTGAGTTAACTTAAAATAATATTATTTTTTAATTTTTTCTTTAATTTTTATTTATTTAATTTTTTTTTGATTTTTTTTTGTTTTTTAATTTATCTTTTCATTTTTAATTTAATTTTTTTTTCTTCTTGATCTTTTTGTTTTTAATTTTTTTTTACTTTTTTTGTTATTTTTTTTTTTAATTTTTTCAATTTTCAATTTTTATTTATTTTTTCTCTTTTCTCCCCTTTTCAATCTTTTTGTTTTTTATTTTTTTTATTATTTTATTATTTTATTATTTTTATTTTTATTAATTTTTTTTTTTTTACTTTTCACTTTATCCTAATCTTTTTCATTTTATTATTTTATTTTTTTTACTTCTTTTCTTATTATTTCTTATTATTTATTTTATTAATTTTTTTATTAATTTAAAAGTAGCCTTTAAAGTAAATATATTTTAAAAATATTTTTTGATGATTTTTTGAAGGTTTATTTAATTTATTTTCTTTTTTTAAAAGCAGATCTTTTATTTTTATGAATAAGAATGAGTATAAATTTAAATATTTATAAATTATTTTAAAATTGATTTAAAACTTGATTTGATTCAACTCGAAAAAAATGAGTTGAATAAAGTTATCTTTAAATTCAACTCAACTTAACTCATTTAAAACTCTAGATATAGATATACTGAATTCTCAAACAAATAATCCTACCTTTTATAATTATAAAAATATTTATAAAAAATAAATTTTGATATACTTTTGCATCATGAACTGATTCTGGCTATCCTGTTTTATAATCAATAAAATACTATAATAATTAATAATACTTTAACATAAAATTAAATATTTTTTTTTTATGATTTCAATATATTTCAGATTATTTTAATGATGCAATTTCTAATATTATATAAATATCATCAATAGTATTAATAATATTGTTAAATCCTCTAATATCTTTAAAACCTGAATGAACTATTTTTCTTGATTGTTTTATTGATCATATAACTAATATAATTAATGAATTTTTTAATAAAAGAATATTTAACATAACTCTTTTACAATAGAGATAAACAGTACACTTTGAAATATCATATTGTAAACATATATTAATTATTTTCTTTAAACCTATTATTTACATAAAAATAGTTAATTGTAATTCAATTAAACTTGCTGTTTATTACTAGTTGACTGAAAAATTGAAAGTATTTCAATATTAATTATAAACTTTTAAAAGCTTTGAGAATTCATTTTCATAATTTTTTAAATCTAACATTACTATATCTAAGAATAACTAAATGCTACTACTCTTAAGATTTAGCAATATTACTTTGATTATGTATTTTTAACTAATAAGAATCTAATAAAGAATATAAATTAAGAAGAATTATTACATTTTCTTCAGCATTAAATAATTCTTCTTCAAAATTAGAATTATTTGATTCATTATTTGAGTCCTCAAAAACCTAACTTGATTTAATAAAAAAGGTTATTAATAAATTTTTAATATTTTGTCAATAAGCTATTTTTCAAAAAAAATATATTAATACATAATTTTTTTATAATTAATCAAATATACTGATCAAGATTTACACAATTCTAATTTTAATTATATATTTAGATTAGTTAATAGATTTTGCAATCAAAAATCTAAATAATCAGAAATAAACAGATTTATTACTTCAATCACTTTTCTGATTTGATTAAAGAGCTATTAAAATCTTATAATTAAAGATTATAAATAGATGAGAATGTTAACAATGATATGATTTTGAATTGCAAACTAATGATGATAAAGAATTAAATAATTTTAAAACTACATTGAAACAAATAGAAATTGATGTAGAATTGAAGAAAATAATATCTGGTAAGTTATACTTGATAAGTTAATCTAGTTCTTTTTTTTATTTTAATTTAATTTTACGATTATTACAAAATTTTCAATAAAATTTGCTAAAAATGTATACTGGTTAAAAACATTAAAAAGCTACCAATTTCTGATTTGACATTAAAAAATATTACAAATATAACCAGTTTTAAAAGATTAGATACTATTTATATAGTTTTGTTATTCTAGCATTAACTTTAAAATTTATTATTTATAAAAAATTTCAGATAATTTTTAATTTTTTTCGATAAATTTTATTTGATAATTATTACATGTTTTAACAATCTAATAAAATGAAAACCCTATTCAGGATTTCTCAGATTAGTAAAATCAATAACCAATAAAATTGTAGTTATAATTGAGCATAATTTTTTTGATTAGATCGATAGTTTTTTTGTTTTATTAGCTTCCAATAAGAAAAGTTGTCAATAATTTTGTATTTTCATCATTTCAGCCTTCTTTTTCAGATTAAGAAGCATTATTAAAAGTGTCTTTTTTACTCTTTTTTATAAATTTTTGGTTTAACGAGTGTTAGAGTAGTATTAATAGTAGGTTTGATCAGTGGTAATAAATTAAAAGTATGTAAAACTAAGTTAGAGGTTGTTACAGCTATAATGTCTGTATTTTGTATAAAAATTCTTGTGATTTTGAGGTAATTGAATGAAAGGTAGAATTTTAGTTAGACATTTTAAATTAAACATAATAAATTTTAAAAAAAATTGTGTTTATCTCATAAAATTAGCTAATCTAAATTAATTTATTAAAAATTGATCAAGATGAATAACAAAAATATTGATCATGTTGATTGCTTACCTGATTGTTTTAGTAGCTAATAATTTTTGATTTCAATTCTGGTTGATCAGGTCTGATCTAGAAATGAACAAGGCTAAATTTTAATTTTTTTAATTTTTATTGGCTGATCAATGTTGATCAGCACATAAAATTAAGCCAATAAATGGAATTTTTACTATGCAACAAAATAGCAAATGGATTGTAATATATCAATAATAGGTAATACTAAGTATTACTATTATTTTCTGCATGATTTCCAAAGAGAATCAAGGTTCCATTAAGCAAAACCTAAAGAAAAATTCTCTGAGCATCATTTTCATCTCGATCTATTACAGCTTCACAACTTCAGCATTTGTACATCTTAGATCCTCCTATTTTTTAAATACTACTATATCAGCTGTAAGTTTTTGAAGTATAGGCCTCATTTTGGATAATAACATAGATCTCTAATTTTTCAGCTTTAGTTACCAGACATTGTCAAAATTGATAGTAAGCCTAAAAGAGCATTTTACGAACAGTTTTTGCATTATATTTCTTGTTTTTTGATTTATTATATTTGATACCTCAAAAGGAGGAATGATAATAGCATCAAATTTGTAAGTCAAAAATGTAACACTCTTTTTATAAATTTTACTTTGCAGATATTTGATTTTTTATATCATCTGAGAAATTACATTATCAAGTCATAAAACCTTTTTATTTTTACGTTTTAAATTAGAAGAAGTCAGCTTATTCCTTATAGAATAAAGATTATTTATATATTTGCATAAATGAATAATTCATTCAATATCATATTGGCTAATTTTGTCTATACCTTTAGTAGAGAGTATCATGTGAAGGGTGTATGAACATCAGGATCAATGGAGATTACATAAACAGAATCATCTGCTTGGATTTTACAGAGCTATTTTTGCATCTCATAAACCCATGAAAATTTTCATTTATTAGTTTTACAAATATATGTGATTTTACAATCAGATGTTATCTTGTGAGAAATAGACCACTTATTATTACATTTTTTTTTTCAAAATAAAGAGATCATAAATCATGTTTATTATGATTCAGAGTGATAACAGGCTTATGAAGATATATAAAAAATATTGATAGATTGTAAAAATAAGTGATATAAAAATGATTTCACATGAATTTGACAAATTTTATGAACGAATTGTTATTGTTTATCATAAATCTTTTTGAGATCGAAATGATAAAAATGAACCTTGTTATTTTGTATTTGATCTTATATTATGGTTAATTATCTTATTCCTAAATTAATTAAAAAATCAAAAAATAATAATCATACTTAGCAGTCAATGCTTCATCAATTTTCTCATCAATAATATTTGCAGGTGCTTTTCCATGTATACCTTGAAGTAGCATTCCAATACATATAATATTTTATATGAATTTACGTTCACCCTATACAAATGATTTTTGAAGTTTCTTATCCTTATATTTATTAACATCTTTTCCTACACAAACATCTGCATAAAGTTTAAGTTTATTTTTAATGGTTGAGGTTTTACCCAACTTGTTATAATAGACCAATATGTAAATTCTTAATATATAAATAGCAATATCAATTCCAGTAAATAACTGCATTATAAGCATATCTCATCAAGCCCATCCAACATTTCAGTAGCTGCTTTTGAGAGTGATTTGGATACACTTTGATTAGTAATGTACAATTGAGAGTGATTTTCAAGTATTGTCGCTTGTTACATGCTGATATTATCCTGATCTTTGTCTTACGCTTTTTTCCTAACCTAATATTCTTGTCAATAAATAGCAACTCTTCTTTCTTGCATTTGATAGATAAAGACTGTGTTGGTTACAAGGATATCTTGAAAAAGTTCATGTTTATCAGAGATCGCATTGTTGTAAAGAACCACAAGTTTTATAGTATAGAGGGAGAGTATGTACTGAATGAGGTCAAAGGCAAGGTAGTAGAGTCAGTTATAATAGGTAATCACAATTTCTGAGACTATTTCGTGACTTATCCATTCCAATAAGATCTTAAGTCCTGGTCATTTGAAGTTAATACCTGAGCTAAGTTTATAGGTTGAGAACTAGGAACTGAGAAGTTACTTCTGTCATTTAAGATCTTCTTTTTGCTTGACACTAGAGACTCAAGCATAATTCTTTTTTGGTAGTGGTGGCGGTGGCGGTGGTGGAATTTAAGATATCATATAGTTGCATACTACCTGATGAATAAAATGCTGTTATTTTTTGTTGCAGTGCTAATGACAAAAGGTATACAAAGAAACACTAAAGATAGAAGAAGCCTGAGTAATAATAACAAATATTAAATAAAAAATAAAACTTAAATATTTTACAAAAGGTTAAACATTTTGAAAGTTTATTTATGAATGGAATACAATAATATTAATAATCTTATCAGGAATATAATATATGATAAACAACACGATAATTATCCCAAATACCTTCTATGATAGGATCAAATGTATTTCCCATATTTAAATCAACTCTTATAATATATTCTGTTGCAAATTCCTTCTATTAAAAAAAAGTCTCATTGATCAAATATTCATTTACGTAATAGTATAATACAATAAATAATACACTATTCTTCAAAAAGTATCTGGTCAAGCTTTTTTTAAATTTCTCAAGATCAGATATATTAACTAAATAAAATTTTTTTTTAAATAAACTTCCTGGTTTTGGTGATAACGTACATATATTTATATTTGTGTAATAATACATAGATCAGTTTTAATAAACAAAAACATAAACAACTCTGATTTTGCTTTTTTTAAAAAAACTGTGCCAATCGACATGAAAAAAAATCGTAAATTAAATGAGTTTAAACGTGGAAAAGTAATTGGTTTATGTAAAGCTGAAAGAACTTATGAAGCTATTGCTCATATTATAAATATTCTTAAAAGTACTATTACAGATACAATTTTTTGACATGCTAATTCCAATGATAGATTAAATGTTAAAAGACCTGAAAGATCACTTTCTATGAATAATGATGATAATCGCATATTAAAGGAAATTATAAAAAAGAATAATCAATCTTCTTTTAGTGAAATTCAGCACAATTTTTAGAGTTTAAGAGACAAGAAAGTTTCATTAGGTACTATTTGAAAATCTCTTCATCAAATGAGAATTCATTTAGGAATTGCTATGATAAAGCCACTTCTTACAGAATCTCAACGTAAAAATCAATTAAAATAGTGTATAGAGTGGTAAAATTGGTCAATCCAAAAATAAAAAAGTGTGATTTAGAGTGATGAATCACGATTTATCTTATTTAAAAATGATGGGCCTAATCGTGTTTAGCGAAAAAATGATATCTGATATAATATTGAAAATTTGATTCCTACAATCAAACATAGTGGTGGTGATATCATGGTATAGGAATATTTTTCAGGAAAAGGATTAGGACCATTGGTAAAAGTTGAGGGAAAAATGAACTAGTTAGATTATATTAATATTTTAGAAAAAATTTATTGCCATTTATTTGATCAAAATATCACAAACAGCCTTATGTATTTCAAGATGACAATGCTCTAGTTCATAAAGCAAAGAATGTTAAAAATTAGATTATTCAAAAATAGGTTAAGGTGCTTTCTGATTGGCCTTCTTAATCTCCAGACCTTAATCCAATTGAGAATTTATGGAATGAACTTAAACGAAGACGTATTAAACGTTCTGTACATCTAAAAAATCTTCATAAACTTGAAGAAATATTGCAAGAAGAGTGGAAAAAAATTTCATCTGAAACTTACATTAAACTTATAGAAAGCATGCCACATAGAATTGAAGCATGTATTAAGAATTAAGAATGGCCTACTAAGTATTAAATTGTATAATATATTTAAAATTTTTAAATAAATAAATAATTTTTTGGCTGACTGGATACTTATCTGAGGGTAGTGTATGTTTTATTCATTTCATATGCACAAAATTCTAAATTAAAACATTCTTTGAATAATAATTATTAAACTCACTTGTAAAGCAACAATAGTATTCTAAGCATTGATCCTCCATTTTGTGATAAAACTTTAGGAATTATCAACATTGTGTCTGCAAATGCTTAAACTCCCATCTTAGCCTCTCCTTGATTGAACTTTTAATTTATTCAAGTGAGCTGAAAGCTCAACTTGAAATGCTTCTACTCCTGGTATTATATATTTATCTTTAATTGCATTCTTTATGACTTATAATCCATCATGAATAGCATCATTAATCTGTGCAATTGTATGAGAATTAGGTTTTTTAACTAATATTGTAACAGATTTTGGATTTTTAACCTTTTCAATAAAGATATATTTTTCTTCTTCAAGAGTGTACTCATAAATAAGTAAACTAACAATTTTGTAATCTTTAATAAGATTTAAGTTATCTATTTCATTCTCATTTTTTAAACTCTCAAGACCTTTATTTCCTTTCTTTTTCCTAGCAGTAGGTTTTTTTTTATTTTTCCTAATAATACTTTCATCATTTGCCAAATTTTGATTATTCTAATCTAAAATATAATTTATTTTAAAATTTCTTAGTAGCTTTGTCTTTTTTGATCTTATCTCATTATTTCGTAAAATTTACTTTAGGGTTTTTTTCTTATTTTTTATTACACTTACCATTTTTCTTAAAAAGTTTTCCTAATCTCTTTTCTTTAAATTCAATTAAATGTGGTGATATTCAGATATACTAAGCACTTGAGAATGCAGCATATGTAATAAGACTATAATTGCTATTACTTAATAACATTTCGATATCAAAATACAACATATTTTCACATAGAAATTCTACTGATTCAGGCTCTTTATTACTTTCAAAGTGAGTTCACCAGGTTTAATTAATAAATCTTTTTCTGATGGCATATTTAAAAGATTTGATTTGGCAAATTCTATTGTTAGTCCTCTATATTTTTTGCTTATGTTCTCTAATATTCCAAAAATGTTTAGCTATAGAATTGCTGTATAAATTTGTATATCAAATTCAGAAACATTAGGAAAATTTTCTGTTTTCTTTCCTTTTAAATCTTGATGTTCTAAATATTTCAACACAATTTTAACTACTTCAGCTTTTACTAGAATATTGGAAGAATTATCTGAAAAAATCTTTTATAAAGCCATCCTGGTAACATTTCTATTTCAGCTTCATTAAATCTTTCTACCAATAGTTGAAAATTTTTATTTTGATTAAACATGTAATATGTAAGCAATGCTTGAAAACAATATTCATATTTGACATATCTTTTACTACAGCGTTTGAACTTAACCCTTTTTTGAAAGTTCGTATTAAAAATAAGATTCTTATGCTAGATCTTATCGCATATTGACATGTAGTTACTAAACTAAAAAAAGCTTTCATAATTTAAAATTGAAACAAAAAAAATTAGTGATAAATTGAAATTTTTATAGGAAATTTTGCATGATTTTTTACTAAAAGAAAGCATTATGTGTTTTTTATAATAACACATCACATGATTTCCATTTTTCTAAAATGAATAGGTAGGGATGGGAAATTAACGGTTAATTAAGATTTGGTTAATTAACCGTAATATAAATTTTAATATAAGATTTTATATAAAAAAAAAATTTTTTTAATTTTTTATTTATCGT